TTCTTAATTTTTCTTTACTACTCTCTGGTCTCTTTCCCTTTTATTCACTCCTCTCCCTGATAATGTTGAATTCCTTTTCTTTCTTTGTATTTTCTCTCTTATTTTTCAATTCTATGTTGTTATTTCTGTGTTGTGTGGTTTTTTCCCCCCCTTTCCTATGTTTCTCTTTTTGGCTATTGTGTTCTTTTTCTACCTGTTGCAAGAGCTAAAAAAAGGAGAAGCAGGGGTGGGTAAGAAGAGAAGCGGGAAAAAAATGAAAACAGAGTTATAACAAAAACAAAAGACAGTAAAGAGAAGAAGATGAGAAAGAAGGATTGCTTCCTTCAAATTGACTATATCTATGGGAAAAGAGATTAGAAAGTTTCAATATCATCAGCTAAAACAAGGCCAGGTGAAGACTGTGAAACATGCCAGCAAATTCTCATAAGCAAGGTCAGGATGAAGCTAAATAGAAAATTAAAACACGTTCACAGTAGCCAAAATATGTTTTTGAACATATCCAACCTGAATTTAGAGACCATCTCAAGAGCAGATTTGATACAGTAGACACTAGTGACCAAGACAAAAACTGTGAGATGACATCAAGAACTTCATACAGGAAGAAAGTAAAAGGTTTGACAAGACAAGAAAGAAAGAAAAGACCAAAATGGATGTCAGAAGAAACTCTGAAATTTACTCTCCAGTGTAGAGATGCTAAAGCAAATAGAAGAAATGAGAAGGTCAAAAAGCTGAACAGAAGTTTCAAAGGAGTGTCCGCAGAAGTTTAAAGTATAATAATGAAATGGTGCAAAGACCTGGAGTTAGAAAACAAAAAAGGAAGAACACATTCAGCATTTCTCAAGCTACAAGAACAGAAAAATAAATTCAAGACATGGTTTGCAATATTGAGGAATTCTATGGGCAAAATATTGAACGATGCAGGAAATATCAAAAGAAGATGGAAGAGGTACACAGTGTCAATGCACCAAAAATAAATGATCAATATTCAATCATTTAAAGAAGTAACATATGATCAAGGACCTATAGTACTGAAGGAAGCAATCCAAGCTGGACTAAACACATTGGCAAAAAACAAAGCTCCAGGAAAGTAGGTAATATAAATTGAAAAGTTTCAACAAACTGATACAGTACTGGATGCAGTTACTTATGTATGCCAAGAAATCTGCCTGACAAACTGATTAGAAGAGAGCCATATTTTTGCCCAATGTAAAGAGACTTGACTCAATGGAACGCAGAAATCATCGAAGAATATCATTAATACCACATGCATGTAAAGTTTTGCTGAAGACATTTCAAAAATGGCTGCAACAATACATCAACAGAAAATTGCCAGAAACTCAAGCAAGTTTCGAAAGAGGACATGGAACTTTAGCCATCATTGCTGATGCCAGATGGATCATAGCAGAAACAGAGAATACTAACAAGATGTTTACTAGTGTTTTACTGATTATGAAAAGCAGTCCTGGTAGCATAGCATATTATGGGTTGTGCTGCTAACCTCAAGGTCAGTAGTTCAAATCTACCAGTCGCTCGGCAGGAGAAAGATGAGGCTTTCTACCCCATAAAAACTCTACAGTCTCCAAAACACTATACAGGGTCACTATGAGTCATAAGTGACTCAGTGGCACACAACCACCACCACCATTGACTATGCAAATGTTTTTGACTGTGGATCATAACAATCTATGGGCAACACTGTGGAGTATAAGTATTCAGGAACACTTAATTGTGCTCATGAGGAGCTGGTACATTGACCAAGAGGCAATCATTCGAACAGAACTAGGGGACACAGAATGGTTTAAAATCAAGAAAGATATATGCCAGGGTTGCAGGTTGCATTCCTTCACCATATTTATTCAATTGGTATGCTGAACAAATAATGGATATTCCAGGACACTTCATTATGCTCATGAGGAACCTTCTTGTTGTTGTTAAGTGCTGTC